GCGAGACGTGCATGGACGTGCATGCATGTGAAGTCCATCCGTGTCAGACACCCCGGCCGGGACGACGTGCGTGCACAGGAATGTTCCTCCTCCTCCCTCCCAGCATGTACGCGCGCGCGCGAGCATTTCAAGCCGGCGCGGGCGGCAGCGGCGGCGGCAAGCAACCGTCGCCGCGGCTCGCGCGGCGAGGCCCCCGTCCGCCCCGGGACGCGGGGGGCGCCCACCACCCAGCCGGAAACCCGAGCATCGTGCTCCTCCCGCCCGGCGCCGCTGCGACACGCCCGCGCCTGTCCCGGGATCGCCCGTCGTTTCCCGCGCGCGCGCCCACCTACTTTCCCGGCTTCGGATCGGCCTGTCCTCCATTTTTTATTTTTATACTCGCCCGATCACAGGAGAGTACCCCCGAGCATACGCGCCACGCCACGCCGGCAACCCGACGCACGGCGAGGGCGCCACCACCACGGCGCAGAGCTCTCGTTGACTCCCCGCAGCCAATCATGCACGTATCATCCGCCTACTCGTCCCCATCCGATAAAAGTTTTAGTATCGTTTCCGCGTGTACTTGATCATCGGCTGGACAGTTCCAAAGCGTACAGCCAGAGCACACTGCGTCGGTCGCTGAAAGATGCGGCCGTGGCCCGTAGAACATGCATGCACGGCCCTCCCTCCCAACGGTTGCGTCGCCAGCTCGGGCTCCATGTGGCGGCCGGGAGCGCGTCCACAACCATTTTCTATCCACGGCCACCGTCGCGTTACCCGTCCGTCCAAACCGGAGCACCAATCATTCTCTCTACCGCTTCGCCCGTTGTTTTCCCGTTTTTGTTCTTCATAAGAAGAAGAAGTCTGTGCTCCCGTCTTTGCTATTTGGAGATTGACGAATCTGGCACGGATCACTGATACACTCCTATGTGTCTATTACTAGTTCTAGATACAGCTGTGCTGTTTCCATGTGAGGATTATCATTGCCGATTTTGAAGGATTGAGGATGCGTAGTGCCTGATACGATCACGAAAAACTCCGGATTTGTTTATCCTTGTGCTTCTTTCGGTGTCCGGCCCGGGAAACCCAGGTCGCCAATCTTGGCCCTTGGCGTGCCTTGGACGACATGGTCAAGTGGAGAATGTGGACTCTGTAAGACTTACTTGTCGGTAATTCCGACCTCCCGATAGAGACCTCTTTGTCTCCGAAAGAGACAAGGCCTGCATTTGACTTCGGCCTCTTTGGTCTGTTTCTTGCCCCTGAAGCCCCATCCACGCCACTGCCCACTAGCACACAAATCTAGACCCCTTCAAGCAGTGCCAACCTAAATGATGGTAATGATCTTGTAGTTTATAAGTAAAGCGCATTCATAAACAACACATGGTCCAAATCCAACAATATAAACTGTAGACGACTGATATACGTACATGTACATCAATAGGTGTCCACCATTTGGGGACATGGTCAGGTGATAATATGCGTAGTTTTGCGTATGAGTGCTCTAGTCCAACCGTTCTCTTAATTTAGGGACGTGTAAGCTGTCTGGTTCGGGTGTCCCCAATCATATATACTTCCAATAATTAGTTTATTATTAGCAGGTAAAGACAATCATTGGTCGTGACGATAAATCGCATCAAGGTATGATACACAGGTAGGGGGAAGACGTCTGCAATCCAGCGACTTGAGGCCTAGAAAAGGATAGACAAACAACTTGTTCGTAGCAAGTTATGACTTGCATAGAGAAGCATGCATAGACTGGTCGGGTCATACTAAAGTTTTCGGGTCTGCTCTGGGCTACCCTTCCACATTAATTTGCATCAGAAGTTTGTAGCTAAAAGAGCATGTGTTTCTAGATATCTCGACGGTTTTGCTAGATTGGTCATTCTTTATTTTTCATGAAAAGCATAAGCATCAAATATATTACTCCCTCTGATCCAAATTAATTGATGTATACTTCGTATAACTATACAATTATACTAAGTGTGCGTCAATTAATTTGGGGCGGAGGGGGTATAAAAGTTCATCAGAAGCACAAAGTATCTCAAATAAAAATTACATCGAAATTCCTAAACCATCGAACGACCACTACTGCCGCCAGAACGAGCCGATGACGCATCACTGTGGCCGCTCTCTACCGGAGCTGGTTTGACCTTGTCGATAACAGCCGGAAAGTCTTCGTACACGTGCCTCTAAGGATCAGCGCCCTGGAGCCGCAGTCGTCGCCGTTGAACCGTTGCATAGATCTGAAGCACCTGACACCAAATCTCACCACATGACAAGAAACCCTAACCTCGCTGCCTCGAGTAGACAGCAGGAATTTGCATCGGCGCTTCGTCGACTATGTCCAGACGGACGAACTCAAGGAGGATCCGAGCCCAGAAAATAAACTCAAATAAAAAGCGCCGCCATTGGCCCGATGCCGCACCTGCGAGGACTAAAAAAACCCTAACCTAAACTACTAACTGGAGAAGAGGCATCGGGATTCCCCTCCTCGTCACTGACTGCAGAGCGAAATGCAGAGGGGAGGCAAATCAACGGGTTCGCCGATGAATCCTTGAGGATAGAGTTTGTCGTAGGCCCTAGCTGCCTAGGGTCAGAGGAGAAAAATGCGAAGAAGTCTTCCTGGTTCATTACAAGAATACAACCTATGCTTGGGAAAACATAACGGGTGCAATAAAACTAATACATCTTGCACTTTTCAATGAATGGGAGTTGCAATTTTTCTAAATTGATTGAGACTTGAGAAAATCTCAGTCAACTGAGATATAGATGGGCCCATATTTTAATAAAAGTGCGCTTGTCAATCTTAAATTAAAGGGGGGGGGGGGTATCATAGTTTACCACAATTCAGATGCTCTTAAATTCTACAAAGCCTGCAACCATTATATACATTCTATGAGTTTTTTCAAAGACAATAGAGGTATCCAATCTCTATTGCAGATCGATCACATGTAAGTGATCACAATTAAGTCCAATTATAGAAGTGCTAGTAATTCAATTATTTATTTAAAGTAATAGTTAAAATGTGTTTTTAAAGAGATTTGCTTACCTCCCTATAGTATATACCAAAAGTTCATAAAATGCTTTCTTTGTACCATATACATAACTTGTATTATCATTTTTTACTTAGATTATACTTTCTGCTATCTACCAAGTGATTGTACCATGTTTCTTTTGTTTTCATTTTATTTTACGCCAAGGACATTTACTCCTATCATTTGACATGTACATTAGAGCATGTACTCATTATAGAAATATTATTCTAGTATTTCTATAATTCTTATGTTTTAAATAGTAAATATTTCTAATTACCACTAGTACAATGTGTTTTGATATTTTCAAGATTCTGGTGATTTTATTTGAGAAGCAAAGGTAAATGCATAATGTTCTTATATAATCATATTTTTTTGGGGGAACTTAGAACTAAGAAATTTGACAACCGACCAATGGTTTATTGTGGTGCAACGATGCTAGTGATTTAGTGATACTCTTTTCTGGTCAAATAAATATATATTCCCTGTTGATTTCACAATGCCCGCTCGTAAATTTTATATGTTATCTTCACCATTGTAATATGGATCCACTAGAATTGATAGTGAATATATAAACATGTAATATACTCTCTTAGCTTCAAAAATTTAATGTGTGTTTTGAAAGATAAGCTTCTAATCCAGTGGTAGAGCTAAACAAAAGTTCCCAGGCGCAAAAGTATAAATCACGAAGAAGTGGAGGGGCAATGAGAATTTTTCGTTCCATTTAAGCCTCACAAAAAACCTTCATAGGTATATGCAAGGCTGGAGGGGAGAGGGGGCTACGCCCCCCCCCCCCTCCCCCGACCTCTACATAGCTGTGCCATTGTTCTAATTCTTATGATGTACAATTAAATTGATAATATGGGGTTATTGTTACATAAAGTTGATCTTCATGAATCATGATATGCCTTAGTATATTTTGAAACAAATGGATTGATATGCAAGATGATTTAAAACATAAATGAGATGCATTTTATCTTTCTATTAGAGCGAGAATTTGTAAAATCTCTAGTTAATGTGGTCCATTCAGGGTCCCCAAATTCTTTTTGAGGCGATGGTTTCCTAATTTCAAACCATACTTTTGACATGCCATTTCCGGATTTTCCTCACCTTTACAACTTTTGAAGTTTGAGAAGTAATGTCGAGGCACTAAAAGGCACCAGTTTCTTCACATTTCTTTGGTCTTGCTAGATTGCTTACGTGAGTCTCAATCGATTTAGCTAAATGAAACTTTGGTTGACTAATTTCTTATGCAACATATGCTTGAAAAACATAAAAGGGTGGGCAAAAATAATACATGTTGCACTTTTAACTAGATTGTAGTTGCTATTTTATTAATCAATTGTGAAAAATCTCAGTCAAGTACTCCAATTAGTAATATTACAACATTTTAGGATGAGGTAAAAAACACAACCCTAGACGATACAAAAAACAACAATAGGACTAATTAGTAACATAAAAACATATTAGGGGGGGGGGGAGGGGGGGGGGACAGTCCAAAGTTTCAAAAAGTTATCGCATTTGTGGTTTATTCAGTCTCAATTGTTTTTTCAACAAAAATCCTTTTGTCTCCAAATTCATCTTTTGGCGATGGTCTCTTAATTTCAAACCGGACTTGACATTTCACCTTCATAATTTCTAACAGAAAAATAGAAAACTGGAAATGCCACGTCAGCAGCCCAGAATGGTCAACCGGGGACGCTTGGGCTTAAACCTACCTCGTTGACCCGGACAAACCCAAAGCGAAGCGTGAACAGAAACAGAGCAGAACAGAGCGCTGGCTGGGCCCGACCAACGCCGCCGGCCGCTCCCCTATATAACGCCCGCCTCCTCCCGCCCTCCCTCTCTCCTCCTCCTCCTGCTCCTCTCTCATTTCCAAACCAGCCCAACAGACCCACGACTCGAGCGACCCACCGTGCTGACCCGGGACGCGCGCCGAGGAATCGGACCCCTGTCTGTCGGGGGCGCCCTTCTGTGTCAGGAAGCGGCATGGGGGCGCCGGAGTGGTGGTGGTCGACGTGGAGGGGGCTGGCCGTCGCCGCCACGGCGGCGTGCCTGCTCCTTCACGTGGCGGCGCGGGTGGCGGACGCGCTCTGGTGGCGGCCGCGGCGGCTGGAGGCGCACTTCGCGCGGCAGGGCGTGCGCGGCCCGCCGTACCGCTTCCTCGTCGGCTGCGTCCGGGAGATGGTGGCGCTCATGGCGGACGCCACCGCCAAGCCCATGTCGCCGCCCACCTCCCACAACGCGCTGCCCCGGGTGCTCGCCTTCTACCACTACTGGAGGAAGATCTACGGTACGCATGCGCCGCCTCGCGTGTTCCTTCCGTGTCTCTTGCTGTCAGCAGCCGCGTTTCCGCCATCGATGGGTGGAATGGATTTTTAATGGTGGTTGGGTCTTTGTCGTGGCGGCGCAGGGCCGACGTTCTTGATATGGTTCGGGCCGACGCCGCGGCTCACGGTGGCGGACCCCGAGCTGGTCCGCGAGATCTTCCTGACGCGCGCCGACGCGTTCGACCGCTACGAGGCGCACCCCATCGTCCGGCAGCTCGAGGGGGACGGCCTCGTCAGCCTGCACGGCGACAAGTGGGCCCTCCACCGCCGCGTCCTCGCCCCCGCCTTCTACCCCGACAACCTCAACGTACGAGTGAAACGCATGCGCATCTCTTTGGCCCGCCCGGCTTGGTCGTCAGTGTGCAAGTGCAGCGAGTGACACGGCGCCGCGCCGGCGATTTTTCTTTTTTGCAGCGGCTGGTTCCGCACGTCGGCAGGTCGGTGGCGGCGCTGGCGGAGAGGTGGCGGGCGATGGCGCGCGCGAGCGGCGGCGAGGTCGAGGTGGACGTGGCGGAGTGGTTCCAGGCGGTGGCCGAAGAGGCCATCACGCGCGCCACGTTCGGCCGCAGCTACGCCTCCGGCCGCGTGGTGTTCCGCATGCAGGGCCGCCTCATGGCCTTCGCCTCCGAGGCCTTCCGCAAGGTGCTCGTCCCGGGCTACCGGTACGTCAAATACCACATTAATCCCAACCGAAACCAGTCACCGCTCAGAGACTCTCCATTGACACCTCCATGCTTCTGTACTCATGTCATGTGTGCGCCGTCAATTCAATCGATTTGCAGGTTCTTGCCGACCAAGAAGAACCGGATGTCGTGGGGCCTGGACAGGGAGATCAGGCGGGGTCTGGTCCAGCTCATCGGCCGGCGCAGCGACGCCGCCGAGGACCACGAGGCGGCCGCCAAGGACAAGGGCAACAGCGGCGGCGGCTTCAGGGACCTGCTGGGGCTGATGATCAATGCCCGCGACAAGAGGTCGCAGCCCATGCCGGTGGAGGAGATGGTGGAGGAGTGCAAGACGTTCTTCTTCGCCGGCAAGCAGACGACCACGAACCTGCTGACCTGGGCCACGGTGCTCCTGGCCATGCACCCGGACTGGCAGGACCGCGCCCGGCAGGAGGTCCTCGCCGTGTGCGGCCCCGGCGAGCTCCCCACCAAGGAGCAGCTGCACAAGCTGAAAACGGTACGCCACCCGCGCGCCACTGTTCCGAGGCCGAAACCGAAAGCACCACCGAAAAAGACGATCTTTGAAAACCGTCCGGAGGGCCGGAGGGGCATTACGGTAACTCCGCACGCAGCGGCAAAACAAAAACAAAAAAGACTCACCTTGTTTCTTCCCCCGTGTCCCGTTGCAGGTGGGGATGATCCTGAACGAGACGCTGAGGCTGTACCCGCCGGCGGTGGCCACCATCCGCCGGGCCAAGGTGGACGTGGCCCTCGGGGACCTGGCGATCCCGCGCGACACGGAGCTGCTGATCCCGATCATGGCGATCCACCACGACCCCGGGCTGTGGGGCCCCGACGCGGCGCAGTTCAACCCCGCCCGGTTCGCCGGCGGCGCGGCCCGCGCGGCGGCGCACCCGCTGGCGTTCATACCGTTCGGGCTGGGCGCCCGGATGTGCATCGGCCAGAACCTCGCGCTCCTGGAGGCCAAGCTCACCGTCGCCGTCCTGCTCCAGCGGTTCGAGATGAGGCCGTCGCCCAAGTACGTGCACGCGCCGACGGTGCTCATGCTGCTCCACCCGCAGTACGGCGCGCCCGTGATCTTCCGCCCGTCCCCTGTCGCCGCCCCGCCGTCCGCGTCGATCCACGCTAGCTAGCTAGCTAGCTGGCCGGCCGGCCAACGAACTCTGCTAGCCTCCAGGGAGTAGGAATTGACAGAAATGACCACGCCGTGCTCTCTCTGTGTACATACATATGCCGCCTAATGACACGCGGCAGCTAACGGAAAGCTTCGCCCGCCGTCGTGGCCCGCCATGGACGGACGGATGGCCCTCGCTAACTGTCTAGTAGTAGTACGTAGTACGTAGATCATCAGAGCAGAGCAGAGCAGGAGCTTTAGGGTTTGATGGCACGGGACAGGAGAAGGCCGGGCCCGCGCTGCCCTGCCCGGTCGCTTCCATTTGTTCCCTTCTCCCTCCACGGATTCGGGCCGCGTTTGTGTGTACGTACTACTCCTACATTACAGCTGTGTTTCATTCCGGCTATTCTTCATCTTTAGTAGAGCAGGAGACGGAAAAGGATGATGAATCCAGAGCAATGGGGGGACGGGAAAGGCTGTATGGGGATGGGAAATTTGTTCGCCGTGGACGTACGCGGTATCCCCTCTCTCTCTCCCTCTCCTTTTTCGGTTGTGCCGTGTTGACAATTCATGGCGGAATCTCTGGGGGTGGTGGTGGTACATGGGAGGAATACGCTTTGTGCAGGCTGTGCTGAGGATGCGGTGCAGGTTCGTTAGTTAGAGTCTAAACTCAAGTCCACTGTGCTGCCAGTGTGTCACCCACTCCGCCCTGTCCTCCTCCTCGTGTCTACTCGTGGTCTTATTTTTCTTGGCATTAGGTTTTCTTTGCTTCACACAAAAACAAAAACGGCAGTTTCTTTCCCGAGTTGTTTGCTTTAAGGGCAGCGCCAGCTCTCAACCACATTTTCTCGGCCAGACAGAGCACCTTTATCAAGGGTCCATGTATTCCTTCCGTTTCTAAATATAAGAGGCCGTTCGAAATCTCTCCGCTCCGTAACTCCGCCGTGGAGCGGAGCGGCACTCAGTGGAATTTTTCCTTTTTGCATGTTTGAATCTTCTCCACGACCTTCAACCACGAAGGAGACAGAGTCTTTTCATATGTAGTTTGTATACATACATCCATATGTAGCTTGTATTAGAATCTCAAAAAAGATTTATAGTTAGGAACAGAGGGAGTATATACTAGCGGCATTTTTTTTGCATCTTTCAATCTTCTCCATGACCCTCAACCAAAAATGAGACAAAGTCTTTTCACCAAGCTATATATCACCAAGCCATTTGACTTGGTTAGCTGGCATTTCTCTCTGAAAAGCCGCACTTTCTTGTTAGAGGTCCTCATTGCGCTAGGGTTTGGTAATTTTTTTTGAATAATGACTAAGTTTTTTTTTTCACCTCCTTCTTCCTCCAAGGCATATCTTAATGGTCTCTCGGTCCATTTCCCTGTCATGGCCGAGATCTTCGCCAAAGGGCTCCATCGCACCGCTATTCTTCTTCTTTTTTTTGCAGGTGACACCGCTAATCATTTTTATGCAAAAAATACACATTGCTATCTTCTATCTTCTGTATCTAAAGGGCTACCCTCACATATTTCTCTCAATATGCAAGCATCTCATCTTGTAACATGTATGGAAAAAATCCATCTCAACATGCAACAGTACAAGAAAAAACAATACTACAATAACCAACATTCAAACATCTATGAGAATTTTCATTTTATTATTGCTATTTATATCATAAGTGGTTTACATATAAAGCATAATCAAACACAATATTCATATGTATTTTTAGTACAATAACCAACATTCAATTATTCAACATTCAAACATCTATAAGTTATTTATAGTAGAATAATGAAACAGAATAAAACATATGTATTTTTAGTTTTAATTATCATATTATCACTCCAAATATTCATATTGCATACAAGCAAATGTTACTAAAATATATTACAAAAAAAATTCCCGCTTAGTATAGGTGAAGGCTAGCAAGAGACTGGGAAACGACCAGCTAGAGAGCGACAACAGTCATGAACATGCATTAAAATTAATCAACACCGAATGCAAGTATGAGTAGGATATAATCCACCATGAACATAAATACCATGAAGGCTACGTTGATTCTGTTTCAACTACATGCGTGAACATGCGCCAAGTCAAGTCACTTAAATCATTCAGAGAAGGATACCACCCTATCATACCACATCACAACTATTTTAATAGCATGTTGGCACGCAAGTTAAACCATTATAAGCTCCTAGCTAATCAAGCATGGCACAAGAACTATGATCTCTAGTTGTCATTGCAAACATGTTTATTCATAATAGGCTGAATCAAGAACGATGAACTAATCATATTTACAAAAACAAAAGAGGTCGAGTTCATACCGGTTTTTCTCATCTCAGTCAGTCCATCATATATCGTCACAATTGCCTTTCACTTGCATGACCGAATAGTGTGAATAATACTAGTGCTTGTGCATTGGACTAAGCTGGAATCTGTAAGCATTCAATAAATAGGAGAAGACAAGGCAATATGGGCTCTTTTGTCAGATCAACAATAATGCGTATAAAAGCCACTTCAACAATTTAATTATGGTCTTCTCCTATCGACCCCCAAAGAAAAAAAAAGAAATAAAACTATTTACGGGAGAGCTCCCAACAAGTAAAAGAAGAACATGAAATCTTTTTGAGTTTTCTTTTTAATTACTACTACAAACATGGAAAGTAAACTAATTAAAAGCTACAACTAATTTTTTTTGTTTTTCTTAAGGTTTATTAAACACACAAGAAGAAAGCATAAAAAGGAAAATAAACTAGCATGGATGATACAATGAAAAAGTATGAGCACCGACATCTCGCAATGAGTGTGTGAATATAAATGCAATGTCGGTGAGAAATACGTACTCCCCAAGCTTAGACTTTTGGGCCTAAGTTGGTCTATGGTCACGGCTGGCCTGGCGGATATCCATAATAATAGTTGGGGTCGTACTACGAAGAAGAAGACTCAGATTGCCACTGATTGGCAATCATCTCCGGATCCCACTGATAATTAGACTGTCGTGGAGGATCAATTTGTGGTTCCAGCTTTGGCTCTATGGCTGATGTAGGGGTCCGATAGGCGTGAATAGCCTCTAACGGAACAAGGTACTGGCCTGCAGATAAATCAAACAAGGTAGCAGCAGGCAGGGTAATAGTCTCAGGATGATGTTTATCAAAGAACAATTTGTATTTAAGCTCTCCTTCCCTATTCTTAACAATAAAATCATGTGTCACCATACTCTTATAATCTAAATAAACATGCGGCAGCACTTTTTCTTCCTTCTCATAATGCCTAATAGATATGTTAAAATGTGCAGCTAGGCGCGAAACATAGATGCCTCCAAAGATGGGGCCCTTTATACGGTTCAGACTTAACCGTTTAGCAATAATGCCGCCCATACTAACAGAGTTATCACTGAATAAACCGTGGAGCAAAATAATAATATCAGGAACACTAAGGTTTCCACAGTTTTCGCGACCAATTAAGCAACGACTAGCAAATAATGCAAAATAGCGTAAAACAGAAAAATGTATACTAGTGATTCGTGCATCGGAAACCTTCCTCGTTTCCCCTACAGTGATGATATCAATAAACCCATCCACATCGCTGCGATGTGGTTCCTCTGTCGTGCCCTCGAAAGGGACCAAACAAACCCGACAAAATCATAAAGTGACATCTCCTTATGCTCATCATATAAATAAAACTCCATCGTAGGTGGTGAGCTCCTAGAATGGAAATGAAAGTTTTGCACAAAGATGTTTGTGAGTAAGAGATACTGATCGCGTTGGTCGTAGAGGAAAGCGGTGAGGCCTGCATTCTTAGCCAATTCATAAAAATCTTCATAAATCCCGACTGCTCTCAAGAAATCATCGGAAGGCCATTCACACGATCGAACCTCCGCGGTGCGAGGCAGATTATACTTGGGCTTCTGTGCCTTTTCCTTCAAGCTTCGGCTCGATGAGCCCCTCAAAAGTCTCTTCATTATTTTCTGAAAAATTCTGAAATTTTTAGTTATTTCAAAATAAAAGTAAACCAAACTCAATAATATTGATAGCAACTACTCCTACAAGTGCTTAGGGCCTATATCATGCATCAAAACTACCTTTGACCATATAAATTTGACATGCAAAGTTAAGAACAGAGTCACCTAAGCAGCAAAAATTTGCAATGAATAAAACACTAGAACAAAAACTAATTGGACCAATGGAGGAGTCACATACCAAGGAACAATCTTCCCAAGCAGTTTTGTGAGAGGTGCTTTGAGCAAGGAGATCGAAAATGGCAGCAAAATGAGTTTGGACTCGGGTTTGAGCTGGATATTCGTGTTTGGGGGAGAAAGAAGGAGTGTGTGGGTGAAAGGATAAGTGGAGGAGGGCCACCGTGGGCCCACGAGGCAGGGGGGCGCGCCCTCCACCCTCGTGGCCAGGTGGATGACCCCCCTGCTGTGTTCTCAGTGCCAAATATTCTCAAATATTCCAGAAAAAATCATATTTAAATTTCAGGGCATTTGGAGAACTTTTATTTTTGGGGTATTTTTATATTGCACGGATAATCAGATAACAGACAGAAAAATACTATTTTTATTTTATTTAATATAAATAACAGAAAGTAAAAGTGGGGTACAGAAGGTTGTGCCTTCTATTTACACCCTTCTCATGAACATCAAAAGGAATCCACTAACAAGGTTGATCAAGTCTTGTTAACGAACTCATTCCGAATAATATGGAACCGGCGAAATTTCAAATAACACTATGTTACCTCAACGGGGATATGCACATCCCCAATAATATGAATATCATATTTCTTCTTGACAGCGGGAAGCGGAAATTCAAAACCTCCAAATATAATCGATGGAATTTTTCCAATAGAGTTGATACTATGAGCTTGAGGTTGTTTCCTCGAAAAGTGTACCGTATGTTCATTACCATTAACATGAAAAGTGACATTGCCTTTAGTGCAATCAATAACATCCCCTGCAGTATTCAAAAAGGGTCTTCCAAGAATAATAGACATACTATCGTCCTCGAGAATATCAAGAATA